TCTTCAGAGCCTGGCAGGGGAGCAGAAACTTTATTTGATGCAGGCTGTGGTGCTGTATGGACCATTCAGAAAGCAGTAACTTAATAAGACAGGGTAGGTCAGCTAGAATAGTGGTCCTTAAAGTGTGTACTCAGATCAACAACATCAGTATTACCTGAGAACTGGTTGGAAATGCAAATTCCAGGGGCCTACAAATCAGACCTATGGAATTAGACCTACTGAATCCAGCTGATTCTGTTGTAAGCTCAATTAGAGAACCACTGAGCTATTGAAAATGCTTGATACTTTGCACCTAATCCCAAAGGAACTATTGCCCAGTTAGGTGGGAAGGCCTTGGAGAAAGATCTGAAAAGGCAGTGAGCTATGCTTTTTCTTTTCTTTTTCTCATTTCTACCACCACTGCCTGGTCTAAGCACCATCATCTCTTATCCAGTCTGGTGCAATAACCTGATAATCATTTTCACTCTTCCCATCTTGTGTCCCAGAATCTATATTCACCAGCAGAGAGAGTGATTTTAACAGCTTTTAACACTAGGTCATCGCTGCCACTTAAAATCTCCATCACAAGGAATACACTCTGAAGTCCTTATCTTGGCCCACAAAACCCAGTGTGCCCTGCTCGCCTCCTTTTTTTTTTTCTTTCCCTGGAGCACGTAGCTCAAGCCTGTTGCTTAATTCCATGTAGGGCATTTCTACTTGGTCTTTCTGCCAAAATTCTCTCCTTCCTTTTTCATTTCTGTTATTATGGGCTCCTTCTTGCCATTTAAATTTCACCTTACATGTTACCTCCACAAAGAGGCTTTATCTGAAATCCCTGAATAAAATAAATAAATGAACTTTCATATATTAGCTAAGTAATTTTTAACAAGTTATTTAATCTCCCTAAAACTAACTTATTCATCCGTGAAATGGGGCTCATAATAACCCATAGGATTGCATAAGGATCAAATGAGATAAAGTGGGGAAAGTGTCTAATATGAGGCTCTCTCAGTTGTTAGTCATTCCTCTACAGAAAGGTCATCTTCCTTGTCCAGGCTTTTATTTCTTCCCATTGCATCACTCGCACAGCTCTTGGTTGGCCTTGCCACTTCCAGTTCTCCCTCATTCCAATGTATCCCACATACCACTGCCAGCTTAATAATCTTTTTAAAAAAATCTTACCTTACTCCTTTAAGAATGTGAGTTCCCCCAAACATCTTCCCCTTTTTGGTCTCTGGTCATCACCACAAAGCATTTATTCCGTAAGCACTTTAGGAATTCACATAGTACGCACCCAGGGGCGCATTTTAGATGCCACAAAGGCAAGTTGAGGGCATCTTTTTTCCTAGGTTGAAGTTTGTAATTGTTTGCCACATTATGCTGCTCATTCAGTAAAAAAAAAAAAAAAAATGTCAACTGAGACTCCACTTCTTTCTCACGATTGGTTGTGGGAGTCAGTGCAACCTGAGGGCAGTGTTGCTGTGACAGTGTGAGTGCGGAGACAGCCTGATGAAGGCCAGAGATGGAGCAGAAGTGCTCTGAGCAGGAGAACATTTTCCCGCAGCTAAAGGAGCTCTGACTGGAATATCAACAGAATGTGGAGAGCAAATGGAATGACCTCAAGGAATGTGTAAACTGGTTTCTGAGGGACCTAGAGAGTATAGCTAACACTGCTCCTAGCACTCAGTTAACATTTACTAAATAGGATTGAATAGAACACCAAAGAGGCAGCAGTTTGAAAGGGCTACCTCTTTCAAAGGTAGCAATTTTTTTTAATCCTCATCGGAGGATATGCTTCTATTGATTTTAGAGAGGAAAGGAGAGAGGGGGGGAGAGAGAGAAATATCAGTGTGAATGATTGGTTGCCTCCCAGGCCTTGACCAGAATCGAACCTGCAACCAGGTACATGCCCTGACCAGGATTCGAACCCACAACCCTCTGGTGCACAGGATGATGCTCCAACCAACTCAGCCATACCAGCGAGGGCTCAAAGGTAACAATTTGTAACAAATTTAGGAGGCAACTATAATGATGTCAGATGTAGGTGCTTTTTTTTTAAGTAAGAAAAAGAAATATTTTCAACTTTATTAGATTAATGTAGCCTTAACTGAATGGAAGAGACTTCAGAGGACTCAGTTACCACAGACATTGAAATGACGCCAGAATTGATGTCAGGAGCTATGGTACCTGTTCTAAACCTTGTAGACATAAATCAGAAATCCGAATCAGGCAGGCAACCAGAAAGCCGGTATGTGCATTGGTATCACCTGAGCAGTCTTTTTAAAAATGCAGATTATGATCTGGTAGGACTGGGGTGGTGCTTGAAAGTCTTCCCTTATAATAAGTTCCAGACAATGCTGATGGTCCCAGAACCACTTTGAAAGAAAAGGGTCTAATTTAACCTCTTCATTTTCTACAAGAGCAACTGAGGCCAGAAAAGCCAAGTGTCTTGCCCACCCTCCTCACATTGAGTTTTATTTGAGATATTCTGTAGAAACCACAGTGCCACACCGAGCTACCCATGTGTGGTGGCTAAGGGCATGTGGGCAACTTAGATTGTACCAAGGACAAAATAGGACAGAGCGTGGAAGAATGAGGAAGAGGTGGTGTCTGAGTGCCGTTGGCCAAGAAAGTCATGAGAAGGCATTTGGCAGGTATATTTAAATCACTGACTCAAGGAAAAAGAGAATGGGATTAACAGATAATGGTTTTTACATTCTTTACTATAATTTTAAAGTTAGTAGGTAAACAGGATTGATGTCAGGGAGATATTTTTAGGCAAGGGGCCCTCTCTGCACCCCCCTCACATGTCAGTGACTAACTATTTTGCCTCCACATATGGTAATAATAATTTATTCCTGAGCTTTAACTCCTGTAGAAATGGCAAGGCCAAAGGGTAAAGGTCAGAGATATTCTTTAACTCTTAAAATACTAACCAGTCAATTCATTAATTACTATAATTACACATTTTGAAACTGTTTCTCCACTATGGAGATACTTAATCCTAGGGAAGGAAAATGTATAAAGTTAAAGTAATCCCTTTCCTCTTGAGATTTTAACATCTAACCAGTTCCCTGAAGGTAATTTCTATATCTAGTTCCATATTCCTGGGCTTCGGGCTATGATTCCAACAGTTTCACTGTACCCCCAAAACATGACCATCCTTTTCCAAATTGATTCAACCTCACCGTTTGCAGTTCACCTGTGCTATGGATCTCTCTACCTGTAAACACTCTAGTTATTTAAATAGCTAACTAATTCTCATATCTGGCACTTGTATTATTAGTATCAGTATTTTAAATGACCTTTCATTTTATTTTGTATTGGCTAAGAATGGATTACCTAGGGGTAGCTATAAGTCAGCCTGTCTTCTTGGATACACCTAGGCCAATACTCTCCAGTCTTCCCAGGAGAGACCCCAGCACATACCTTGAAGACCTGACAAGATTAAGTGCAGTTATATGCACTTATGCACAGCAAACAAGCATAGTTATAACTGAGGCACTGAGAGCAGAGTTATGAGCTGCACCTGGAGGTTACAGAGGCAGGCAAGCAGGAACCCGGAGTTAGGGTGTCTGGGTAGATCTCCTTTTACTTGACATTGGTGGCTCTAGCTTGTGTCCTTCAGAGTTCAGAGTGCACAGAATCACTTCTACTGCATAAGCCACTTCCCAGAGTGTCCTTAGCTGAACTCTAAGCCATATAACACCAAAGCAAGGCTCAGAGAGAAGACATGAAAGTAAGCCCTGCTCCCTTCTCCCTGCAAGTTCTATACAGTTATTCCAAAAGGTAGAAATAATCTAGCTACATTTTAAAGCTTGCAATACCTCAATTATCATTAATCGTTTTACATTTGCCCCTCTGTATGTGCAAGTTACAAGTCAGTAATAATTTATAGTTTGTGTGCAAATGTCTGTACAAATTTTCCAACTCGTAAAATACTTTCGCTTCTATTCTGGGGATGCATATTGGATTCAAGAGCTGTGGGCTGGAGAGAGCCATATCTAGGGAGTATTGTTAGGGAAAAACAGGTTTTAAACTCTGAGTTTAAATAATACATGCAGTATATACAACTGTGCTACATTAACCGGTAGGGAGACGCAGGGGATGGAATTTAAACCACAGAGAATGACTTGCACTTAACATAGCAAATGCTGATTGGGGAAAAGATCACAGCATTTGGACTTTAGAAAATCCTAGGGGTTTTCTATCTATTTCCTTCCATCTATTTCCTCACCACTTCCTGCCCTCAACCCTGCGACCCCTTATCAGTACTGTGTAACTTCAGAGACATTGCATAACCACTCTGGTTGATTGCAGAAGAAAGAACCTAAGTGGTCAGAAAGCAGATAATCTCTTCTTGCTCTAAGATTTTAGATTTCCAAACAGGAGTTTACACATGGCTGGGTCTCATTCTCAGCGCCAAGACTCCCACCTCTCACCCCCAAAGGCCCATGTGTAAGTAACTGGCTGGACAACCCTCTTGCTCAGAGCAAAAAAAGGTGATGTGCAGCTCAGCCTCGGTCTCCGTGCTCATGACTCCAAATGTCTCCTGGGCGCTCCAGCTCAAGCCTGAAGAGCTTACCTTCACAGCATGGGCGGCGTCAGCATCTGCTGCACCTGGGTCCCCGCATTGTGAGCAGGCAGGTCCTGGGAGGCAGAGGAAGGTGCATCCGCTGCACAGAGCAGAGTTCTGTCGAGGAGGCTGGGAAAGGAAAGTTCAACAGAAATAGTCCAAGTATTTCGAGGTTAAAAATAAAACTATATCACAAGGAGCAATGTGACCAGGCTCAGCTTACTGATTTTTTCTTTCCCCTGTATTTATCAACACTCGATCTCTACTGGAGTGGCATTTAGCAGGGGAAGCCGGAAGGGAAGTGAGGCTTTATATCAATGGGTTTTCTTTCCCTTGAGGAAGGAAGAAAATCCTTTTAAGGATCATTTTCAAGGCCAGAGCAGCTGCCCGGAGTCCTGTGCGCGTGCAGTCGGCAGATCCAGCTGTGTGTGCTCTCCGTGGCTGGTGGAGCCCTCCGGCTGCTGCTCTAATTATAACCATGCTTTTCACCTAAATCCACAACTCGCTGACACAGCAACTTGTGCAAGTAACATGCGCTCTTGTTTTGGTTTCTCCTGTTTCTTGTCATGACAAGTAGGTGGCTGTCCTCTTCGGGCCTTCTTCTTTCCCCGGTGGTTGGAAAAGGGAGAGTTTGTAACTCATAAATTAGGCATGAGTAAGCCCAGTGTGAGAGAATTAGAAGTGGCAGGAGGCTTAGCTTTGGCTTAATCCCACTCCCTCTTTTTACAGATGAGAAGACTGAGCGTTAGAGAGGGTAAAATTGTCCAATGTCACAGAACTTGCTCCAGTGGAAGAGCCAGAAGAAAGAATCAGTTATTCTTACTCCCAATCTGGTGCTCTTCTTCTTCTTTTTTAAAAATATATTTTTTATTGATTTCAGAGAGGAAGGGAGAGACAGAGACAGAGAGAGAGATAGAAACATCAATGATGAGAGAATCATTGATCGGCTGCCTCCTGCATGCCCCCTGCATACCTGCTACTGGTGATCGGGCCTGCAACCTTAGTATGTAACCTTGACTGGAATTGAACCCAGGGATCCTTCAGTCCACAGGCCAATGCTCTATACATTGAGCCAAACGAGCTAGGGCTGGTGCTCTTCTTGATCTCATCCTCCTCAAAGGAACTCATTCAGCTATCTTCTGAGGAAAGAAAATACATGAACCTGGCTTTGCAAATTTCTAGGTACAAAATTCTCATTTGTGATTTCTCTTTCTGAGGTTTCCGTTACCTTCAGTCACATGTGGTGTGAAATATTAAATGGAAAATTCCACAAATAAATAACTCATAAGTTGTAAATTGCCACCGTTCTGAGTAGCATGTTGAAATCTTGTGCTGTCCAGCTCCATCCAATCTGGGATGTGAATCATCCCTTTGTCCAGTGCATGGACATTGCATACACTACTGCCCATTAATCACTTAGTAGCTATCTTTGTTATCAGCTTGACTGTCGCAGTATCACCGTACTTATGTTCATGACTTAGTAATGGCCCCAAAGTGCAAGAGCAGTGATGCTGGTAATTAGAGAATATGCCAAAAAGTAGCCATAAAGTGCTTCCTTTAAGTGCAAAGGTGAGTATAGTGCAATAAGATATTTTGAAAGTGAGACCACATTCACAATGAGGAGGAAACTGGTCTTGCAAGGAGTGTCAGGCCATAGAAACTGTGAACAATGTACTACCCTGGGGGTGTGGGGGGCGGGAGGTCATTATCACTGGCCCCAGGACAGATAATCAGATATGGCCTGGGGACCCCAACACCTGGGGGCCTTCCTGTAAGCCCACAAAAGGGGGAAGAACCATATCTGCAAGACAAAGGCCCCAGAAGGTTATAAAAAGTGAAGCCCTGTGCATGTTACTTCATACTGATTTGGAAATTATTCCCGGAGTCCACTAGTGTTAA